CCCCCCCCGCCACCCCAACACTGATTTCTTAAGAATCCAATGTCCTGAAGGTGCATTTCTATAATTCCACTGATGGTTATCAAAAATGGAATGAGACCATTTGGGAGACACAGAAGCAGATTTGAGGATAATATTAAAAATGTGTTTCAAAATAGGGTGTAAGGACATGGATAGGATTCATATGACTCAATAAGCCACAGTCTCCTTAATTGGAGATGTTAACGACTGCTGTATGGATTTCACGCAAGCTGCGTTGCTGCATGCAAGGATGTGTTACACTGTGTGAGATTACAATGGAGGCATGCAGTGGGATCATTCCGTCATGCAAGGATGTGAACAGGCTAATATAACTTAGCCTCACAGTGAGTCACCTTTCCCAGTATCAGTCATCCAAGAGCCATGACTAAGGCACATGGCTTTAAGGATGAAAGACCTTGACAGTCACCTATAACATCTTAATTACTGACCCACATGAAGGCAAGACGCTGGACAACGATTAAAGAGGATACTAGATGGTAAAAGAGGCTGGAACACATAATTCACTGGCCTAAATTTGACAAGAGAAGAAAACATAGGTATGAAAAGTGGATGAGTTGCATTTCAAAGAGGATTCCTTTATGGAAACTTTAAAAAAAAAACTTCTGTTTACTTTCTGAATTTTAAACATTAAACTAAATCAATAAGTATTATGTACCAAGGATGCTGAACACATAATCTGCATATGACAGGGAGTTACAGCTTAAAAACTTCTATATTGGAAAGGTACAGTCTGAAAAATCATCACATAACAGGTCTGAATAAAGTGACTAATAATACCACTTCAAATATTTGAGAAAACTCACAAACAAAATATTTTGAAGTCTCTCAAAAGTGGATCAGCATACAATGAAATAAACCGCAGATTAAGTAGGATTTTAGGTTTACATGGCCGTGAGTCTGAAGACTCAGATGAAATGCTACTTTCTCTTCAATGCAACATTTCTATTTTCTAAAATAAATAATAATTTTTTGCAAATTCTTTTGATTCTAAGAAGAAGGTTCACAGGATCTGCAGACCAAAAATGTTGTCACCGACTATAAAAAAATGTTACATAAATGGCTTTATTTTAGTAAAACTGAAGAGACAGATTGTTCGAAATTCACACTAAATTTTCAAGTGGACTGAATTAGAGTGAATTATAATGACAATGAAAAGGGATACAACAGATAAACACAACCACTTTTATAAATTTCCTACTATTACAAACACAACAAACAGATGAAGATGGCTGTTTTCTGGGGCAATGAGCTGTGTGGTCTTGTAGTACTGACTACTGCTGCAGAGCAACTTACTGCTTCCATCATCAGGGCAATGAGTCAGCACTCTGATGATGAAACATCAACCAATATCTACCAGACTACACATTGCAACGTCCCAGATGACAGATATCTTCATACTTGCAGCTGTGAGAACCTGAAATCTTAATAAACAGATAATTATAGCTTGATTCATATCCATAAAGAATGGATAGACATATTAATGGCAGAAGATGCTATAAAATCCATCATGTACTTCAGCACTAGCTGCAGCCAACTGGCAACCTTCGAACTTCACTGGCTTAACCCCATTACACATGCACAAGGGGACTCACTGGGTCCCAGAACCAGTGTGGATATGAGGATGCAGAGAATGAGAAGAATGGGCATAAGCGAAGTGTTGAAAAGTGAGCAGGCAACAGCCAGATAACAGGAACATAGCAGGAGGTTGGATAAAGCTTTTGATGCCACACACATGATAGGTATTGTTATTATAGTAGTAGGCTTCTCAAAATCACAAGAGTTTATGCAAATACTGTCTCAGGCTTGAGTAATATGAGTAACGCTGTTCTTAAATTGAATCAAAATCTTCAAGTGTCACTTATACAAGAATTCACTAAGTCCCAAATAAAAATTGTTTTCAACAAAGCTGTTTCACACTTATTCTTCATCAGTTTGTAACTGATTTTCCTCTCTCTCTCTCACGCACATGCGCATGTGCGCGCACAACACACACACAGATCCTTGTTAGGTATCTGCTTTGAGTTAATGCACAAAGAGAAGCCCTTGTATCTGATTTTGAAAGGCACTCTGAATTTATGCAGGATTCGTAAAACTCTGTAATATAATTATCGGTAAAATTAGTCTAAACATTTCCGACAAAGTTGTGTCACAAAAATGATGCATCTTCTTAAGACATTTTTCTTCATAAATTTGTTAAAAGCACGAAACTGTTGAAGCTGGCTCCATTTCGACTATACATTGTCCATCTGGTAAAGCTAACCACCAGGTGACTTGAGATCAACTTTATGCACTAGATCTAACAGATTCATCAGATGGCGGACACAGAGCCAGCTTCAGAAGCATTTATGTTTTACAGATGTAGAAAAATGTTCAAGATGTATCAGTTTAATAATTACTAGTGTCTATGCAGCTGTAATGTGGGACTTGATCTGTCAGACATTAGAGATGTAGAGGGATTTTGCTTGCCTGACTGAACAGTCACGAAGTGCGGCCACTTTCAGCCTCACCTTGTCCTCCATCACTCTCTAAAATACTTTTTTTCCGCCACAGGTCTTTGCCTAGACGTAATTTGGAACCATAATACTTGCACAAAGATCTCTGTAGGTCATAGACCCCACAGAAATGCAAAGCCTAAATTGACTATAACAACGGTTGGCCAAACCTAAAGCTGCGCCCACATAAATGTTCTGGGGACTTACAGTGGGCACATGGCAGCCCCTTGCACACCTTCATGACGGAGGGACGCGGCTGGTCCCTGCAGGCATTGCCTGCCGGCTTCTTCGTGCCATACCACACGCACTGCAGGATTCGGTACTTGATGCCTTGCGTCTCGCAGGCGGCCACACACTGCACATGCACAGACACACACAACTACTGATTAGCTGCACACTCATGGAGGTGGACTCTCATGTACAATTCCCATTTTCATTTAAATATGCCCAATAGCAAAATTTAAAGACATTCTCTTTACTTCCAGTATTACTGAGTCAAACTTCATTTCATGACTCTCGATACTTCTAACTGCATCATTTGTTTCTTTATAGGCCAACTTTTCTATCACCCACAATAATTTCTGACAATTTTTGGAAGTCTAGTACAACAGTTCTAGACACTTTCACTTCATAAGCACTCGTGAAACTTGATTTAGGCCTTATTATAATAGTCACTTGTGAACAATACTACATCGAACTGCAATATAATTTTCACAATCATATGCTAACCTAAAATTCAGCAGTACGAAAATGTATTGCATTTCAAAGAGCTTGTTCCTTTTCCAACCAGTTCTCTACAGAAAAAAAAAGGACAAACATGCATGTCCAGCAAGACTCTGTTCTGCGATCTCAGTGTTCTAGTAGCCAGGACTGGAGTGACGAGATATTCTTACACAGCAAGTCAGATTGTCAGTATTTTTTAACCTTATGTGAAAACGTTCACAGTCCACCTTCATAAGTCTTGCCGGTTGCTCAAGTGTTGGTACGGACTACACGAGAGTTTTAGAATCAAAGACTTTCCTCCTATAAAAGTCTGCTTAAAAACATACACAAAACACTCAAGAAAGAAAACTTGTGTACAGAATTGAATTACTTAATGACAATTTCTTCACCAATACCTTTGTAACATTATTTTTCCAAGTACAAATTCCGCTCAGTTATTTCTCACAAATACAGACTTGACTCAAAGGGAAAATTGTTATATTTGGAGTGGGGAAAAAGGGGTGAAAAGGTATACTGTCTGCACCCTTCTCTTAGTTAATTTAACATTGCCTTATCAACTGTAATAGTTATATAGCACTAATGGTAGTATGAATTTGTAAATGTTCTGGGAAACGTGAATGGAAGTGATCACGGCCAACTTTAAAACACTATCACAGACTTTGCACGGAGCAGATAAGAAAAACCACACAAAATCTCAATCAGGACAGCCAATATATAAGCTAAGTTTTAAATGTGGGGCATTGAAAATACAAAGCAGAAGTGATAACCACGACTGAAATTTGGTATGGCATACTCCTTTGAGCTGGTCATGAAAACTAGCAATCGCTGGGGGTTCGTCGTGCTGACCACACGTCACCCTGTATCTGGTCGAATGATCGTTCACCTCTGCTTAGGCATGTGAACGTGAGGCCACCAGCCAGCTAGTCGGCTTTGGCTCTCATAGAGCTGTTACGCCACGGATTATACGGCTTTGAGGTTTCAAAGCACTGTTCTGCGTACTACAATTATCAATGCAAGGGGCAGACACCCACTGAAATCAATAGAGTGAAGTCGCATAAGTGTAGCCAGAGTCATCATCAGCTACAAAGTTTAGGCCTTTTGACCCATTCCAGTCTCCATCTCTTTCCTCTTCTTTTAATGTGGTAGTCAAACAGGTCTCCACAAATTTCATAAGTCAGCATTCTTAAAATATATTCCAAGTAGTTCTATTGGTATTCTTTTACTTTCTCTCCAACATTGAATATATTCTGTTCCTTTTTTTATATAAGCCATTCATCTGTCACCTAACACTGATGTCAGGCATCTTATTTTAGATGATTCAATTCGATGGAGCTGTTATTATTTAAAGTTCAGCATTCACTGCCATAAACGAGAAATGGCACCGCTAAAATCTGTTGAATTTTAAAATCATCTCTTGCTGAGATTTATTAAGCGGTGAGAAATACTAAACTTTTTTTCCCCCATAATTTATTTTATAAAGCATTTTTTTTCTCTGAAACAGCCAGAGTAATTATATAATTGCGTTGTCACTTAAATATTGTTATTTTAACTCTGTGAGTCAGATGAATAAAAACCCACTCAGGGTCATGGTGGAATGGCCTGTCCATGGTGCAAGAAGCTGAATAGGTTGTTCATCATGCAAGTGCAGTTGTACACTACAACAAGCGCTATCACCAACTATGCCTCCAGCCTCCTGCCATCCATCTGGAGTATGCCAGAATGCTATTACTTACTATAATGCCTTCATAATCAACAGACAGTAAGGAAAAATGACTTTGGGAATAGTTACAAGAACTACGGCATTATCCGGAATGTTGTTGTCCAAATTGTGTCAATCAGAATACAGGTTAAGTATTCTGTACATGCAAGTGCACACAGTGCGAGTACAAATAAAACAAATGAGGCTAGGAGAAGCATGGCTCGGACTAAAGTGCATAAGTAAACATACAAGGCATGTCCCCAGGAAGACAATGTGGCCACTGTGCTGTGCACTAATTGGTGATTCTGAATATTCTGAAGCTACTGGTGGTACAATCCCTCGAGTTTTCCCGGCTTCCAGACAAACGCTTGTAGCTGTATCTTAAATTACATCAAGACAATTTCTGAATCCTTCTCATTCAATGCTGTATAACTTATGGAGTTATCTGGTAAATAAACTAACAAACAAACCTACACATACCCATGTCCTCTAATATTTTAACCTAAGAACATTTATATTATGAAGAACTGAAAAGTATCACTGATTAATTAATATAATCAAAAAGATTATAAAATAAACTTGTTAAGTTATAGACCAGAATAACAGAGGGAGCGGTAGGATAAGCTATGCTGTACAAATCCCTTAAACTTGGTCATACGGAGAATATAATATACATATTTTCATTATGGTAAATGTCATGTTGATGAAACATGTTGACACCATGACGGGAGTTGCTAAGAAAACAAACATTTGATGCAGGAATTGTCTCCAAGGGATATCCGAGACAAACAGAACCCCGTTGTTCCACAGCTTTTGCATTAGACCAATGAAGGGTTACAGAAGTTGTATCTGAGGCGCCTACTGCCAGAAATAAATTTTTTTCATGAGAATTCAGAGCACTTTGTCCACCTATGTGCATTGGGAGTGCAATGTGCTCACCTCAGACCATTCACCAACTTTCCACGTGCCCTTACACTTGTCACTGTAGCACTCCTGACGTTGTAGAGGTTTCTCTGCCTCGCTGCACTGCTGAGTGTCCACTTCCGTCCCATTACTCAGTTGACATCCTACTTCACGTCGCTGCATTGCTGTACAGATATCATCATTTTACACTTTAAATTAATGATGAGAAATTAGAAACATGAATATTTCCACTACGGAACAAAAAAAAAAAAGTCCTTTAGAAATAATTAGTAACACGCAAGCCTGTGCTAGATAGTAAACGAGCAGAAAAAGTACACAAATTCATACAATATTTTATCAAAGAAACACAAATGGTTGAAAGTGTACACACATTTTGGCAAAATAATATTCAGGAGCACACAATAATTTTATTGAAGTATGCAGCAGTACATATTATAAATTACGTAAGATGTTAATTAAATCTGTACAATCTTTAACCAAATAATACTTTCCTGACTTACACCTAATCATTAGAAAATTAAAACAGCTTGTTTTATTAACTCACGAGAAAATGCAGTACACTGTTAGACACCAACAGGGCTAGTCTAAATGATGTTCCTGATTTGAAACACGTTTAATGAAATTCAGATGCATAAAATTGGTACCGATAGAAAGAGAAACTCTCCAAGTTTATGTTGGTATACTTCGTGACCGTGTAGTAACACTGTTTGCCGCCAGGGGCGATATGAGAGAAAAACGCTGCCATCGAAGACAGCGGAGCCTTTTGTGTCCTGGATTTCCACGTTCACCGGACATGACACCCTGTGATTTTTTTCTGTGGGTGTTCGTCAAAGATAGTCTTTTGGTGCCACCCTTACCACAGACCTTGCTTGATCTGCGAGCACGTATCACAGCAGCCATTGCAGCAATCGATCATGATATGCTGCAACGTGTCTGGGAGGAACTCGACTACAGGCTGGATGTGTGCCGAGTTACCAAGGAGGTTCACATTAAACACCTGTGACGTACTGAAACAAAACTTGGAGAGTTTATCTTTCCATTGGTATCAATTTTGTGTATCTGAATTTCATTAAACGTGAGTAACATGTCTATCAAATCGAGAACATCATTTAGATTAGCCCTGTATATATAAATTTGGTATATATAAGAACAGACAATTAAAGAGAAAAATTAAACTTGCTCTTTGGTACAAACTAAAATAATACAAGACATAAGGAAATGGCTATGAATTTGGGACTGGCCTGAGCCTATCCTAAGAAGAGAAGAAGAAAATAGGAAATATGGTAAAAAATTTGTCCAAATTTAAAAATGAGCAATACTTCTTCATAAGCACACTAAATACTGGCCTGACCGAAATGTGTCCGACATAAAAGACAATATTTACCAGCGTTATTGAAAGAAGGCTACCTGTGTTCCAGGTGAAACAGCGAGACTCTTCACAAGGTGACCAGTCACTAGGCACCCAGTGTGGGCAGTCCTCTGTGCCGCACTTCTGTAATGTGGGTGGTACTGGCAGGCCAGCATCTTCGCACAGACTGCTGTCCACATTCTGCGTTGTGTTGTGCAGACGCACCATGCAGTGCGCGGCCCTGACCTGAGAGCAAGACGACGAACGTGACCACAATACGCTAAAGAGCGTACTATAACTCATAAACAGCCCAGACACTCACCTGGAACCCACTTCCTCCACAGGATTGTGAACACTTTGACCAGTCTGTTATCATCCAGTCAAACTTAAGATTTTCTGGACTACCTGCATACAAAATGTAACAACACAGTCAGATGTCAGATCCGAACAGCTGGAGAAAATAAAAATGATGTGAAAAACTGACACCTGCTCAGATCAAAGACTTGACATTTTACGATTATCTTGTCTTTTCTCATTTCATGCCAAGTATCATCTGTACTTCATAAAAGACCACTAAATAAATTAAATTAAAAAAAAAAAGTAGAGTATTACATGACAAGATCACGCAAACATCAATGGAAAAAGGGAAATTAAGATGCAGACGTAAAGCAGACCCCTACCTTTCCCGAGAATGACCGTGGAGCCCACGGTGTCCTCCGTGGTCTCCTCACGTTCATCACGATCTTGAAGGCGCTCCTGTTCCGTCGGCTCGCTGACCATCCGGTGGCCCCTGGAGTTGCCAAATGTCTGGAACAGCCAAAGATTCTGTGCTCTTTGTTATATTGGATCTTGC